CATATACTTGGAATAATGTTTATACAATACCTATCCTTAAATCTGGTAAACCACGTTTAGATCCAAACTCCTACCGTCCAGTATCATTAGGATGTGCAATGAACAAAGTGCTCGAAAAATTAATAAACCAACGTCTTATTTGGATACTCGAGCACTTCTGTTTTATTTAACAAAGTGGATTTCGCAAAGATAGATCAACTCTAGACAACTTAGTTGACCTCGAGTCTGAAATACATGAAGCGCTAGCAAATAATCAAAGCTGCATAGCGGTATTCTTTGATATAACCAGAGCATCTGATACAGTTTGGCGCCATGGAATAATTAAAACTTTACAGAAATTAGGTATACAAGGAAATATGCTAAACTTCATCAATAACTTTTTAAAAGACCGAAGTTTCCAAGTAAAAGTAGATGATTTCATTTCTAAAACAAAAATACAGGAAAATGGAACCCCTCAAGGATCATCAATGAGTGTTACTCTTTTTCTTATTACTATTAACAGTATTTTGAAAAACGATTCTCCACCAGTAAAAAGTAGGCTATACGCAGATGATCTCATAATTTATTGTAAAGGAAGAAACATAGAACTAATTAAACAAACCTTACAAGATACTATTTTTGCATTAGAAAAATGGTCAATGAAATCTGGAATGAAATTTTGTTCCAACAAAAGTAAATGTACTTTGAAAATAAGGCTATTATCGAGCACAAGTTGTAACGACTATTTTGCTTACCACAGGGTAAGAATATGGGGGACAAGATTGGGCAAACAAAATAATCGAAACAAGTGCATACGACACTCAGTTGGTTGTTGGAGAGCTGGGTCGTGGATAAGTTGAAGATATTGGGGGTTGGATTGGGGCAACTACAAAAAAGGAAATAAAAGGTACTTATACGAATCTATTGGACAAACAGAATGAAAATAAACGGAAACACCTCAAGAAATTTAATATAGGGCGCCACTTGAGGTGCCCAATTATACCTATTACAACCACTAGTTGTAACTAGGGAAATAATTGTATAACATAAAAAATATAGAAAAAAATATCTTTTTCAAATAAAACTCAAAATAGATCAGAGAAACAAATTAAACATTTATTTTTTGTCTCAAACAAAACAGATCAAAAATACATATTATAAAGGAAACATATCATATAACATAATACAAATAACAAAAACTTACATGTTCTTTGTTTACTATATTATGGCCAATTAGATTATCAAAAATTAAGGATCCTTCTTAATGAAAACATATAAATTTAACCTTATATATGAAATATCGTTTCTACATAATAATCAAATTAAAATTGTCATAACAAAAAAACAAATTAAGCTTGCTGTCAGGTATCACATTTAATTTTGATGACAAAGAATGAAAGTATTTACAGCATAACCATACATATTACAATTTTTTATCTGTTATGAAAGCAATTATTGTTATTTAAAAAAATGTCTATTTTACTATTAACACAAAATGTTACCTTTATTCAAATCACATACAATTTGGCGCTGGTACTTCTGTGAATTTAACGGGAATTTACTGGGACCTCATACTATACAAAAGAACTGCTTCAAACTGGACTGGAAAAACGACCAGAGACAAATAAGATTGAGGTTGGAACCAAATCAATTGCACATAGTGGGCACACCCTATATACTGCTTTAAATATTTTCCATATTCTGGTATCTGCACAACTCCTTTAAATATTTAGTGGCTACCCTTTTCTAAATCTGTCATATTACAGAGAGTAATTGTTCCACTATTTAACAAAATTTGTCGACTTTTGCAAACTACATAACTAATACGTCTGTCCACTCTAGCTGCCCTATTTGAAATCTCCAAGTCGACTCCTATTGTCACATGTCTGCCCCGCTTGGAACTTAAATCTCGACTCCCTTTGCTTCGTTACATTTTACCAGAATCTAGCCAAAAAATTTCCCTTCGGTCTTGCAGCCTGTCGCCGACCCACTTAAAACCAAAACAAATATTCCCCGCTCGTATCAACAAAAAAACCTTTTAAATATTCCTTTATTGCGTTTTTAGACGCCAGTATTGGTATCCTAAATAAACAAATATTCTTTTTGACTCTCATTCTAATAACGAAAAACAACTTTTTGTCAACTGGAATATTAGGGGGAATTCATGTAGCATAATACCTCTTTGGCGACAAAAAACTTGTTGTTTTACCTAACATTGCAACACAGAGATAAAAACATATTTCCAGCGTTAATACGCATTTAAAAATCTCGTCAAAAAAACTTGAAATATTATTTCGATTGTTTTCTTTGGTAAAAACAACAGGAGCGTAACACAGAAATCTTTTCTATACACTTTAAATAAAAAAAACGCTACAAAGTTAATTAAATCTAGCCCAAGTACTTTCGCTTAAAATATCATCTTCAGGGGCATTTCGTCAAAATGTGAACTATCCTGCAAGCGTAGAATATGGAAACATTAAAAATAACATAAATTGTACAAAACACTACACTAAAACGAGGACAAACAGTTTAAAAAATCTTCTACGCTACATTCTCTGTCAATATCTGGAGGGATAATCTGGAGAGATAATGGAATAATATTGTCTTCCCTAAAATATATCAAACCACCCTTTTAACCCCTCCTCCTTGGATGGTCAGAAAACCTTGCCTAGATTTGAATTTAACAAAGACTAGTAATCAACTTAATGTTTCCTCTATGGTTAAACAATTTTACAGTAAGATTGATGAGTACCAGAAATACCAACATATTTATACTACTGCCTCCAAATCAGAAAAAAAAACCCTCATACACAACGACTACACTGCTTCATACAAAATCTCAAATTTTAGCACAGTATATACAGGAGAACTATTTGCAATCTACAATTCCTTAAGTTCCATGAGTAGCTTAGGCACCATTTACCCAACTCATCCATTGTTGCGATTGATAAAGAACCATTTGTACCAACTTCAGCTAAAAAATGCGATTGTAAAATTTATGTGGATTCCATCACATATAGGTATACAAGGTAATGAAAGAGTAGATGCTGCCGCCAAATCTTCTGTTAACAACGAAGACTTGATAGAACCTACCTATAAGAAAGATTTTCATTACTGGATTAACTCGACATTGAAAGAACAGTGGCTTCAAGAATGGAATCAATCTCAACAAAAACTACGAGACATAAAAACAACTGTTACAAGATGGAAGAATATGTGTAGCAACAGAAAAGACCAAATTATAATAAACAGATTGAGATTAGGATATACACGCTTAACACACGAATACCTTATTACTGGAAGTGTTCATCCAATGTGCGGTAAGTGTTTCAACAGTTTAAACGTCAAACATTATTAATTCCAATGTCCGGCATATTTCAATGAGAGGCAAAAGTGTAACCTACCGACAACGCTACGCGAGTGTCTACAAGAAAACTATGTATATTCGTCTGTTTTAAGTTTTCTAAAGTCAATTATTGCAAAATTTAACATCAGTGCCTGTACAAATAAAAGTGTAATCTTGTATTAACTAATGTACTTCAACTCAGATTTATGTATGTAAAACTCTATCTATGTTATGTCTATGTCTATGTTTAATCTATGTCTAAAAAAATGTAAAACAAAATTGTAATACCAAGCGGCGCTAATAATGAATACTCTGGTCAACAAGTTTTGTAGTCTACAGTTAGCACAATTCCAAAGAACTTTCGTTATACTGGACATGTAAGAAATATTGAAGAACCCGGTAGAAATAATAAATTTATTGATGAAAAAAAGTTAGATATACTTCTAGAGATTGAGGAGAATCCGCATAAAACAACTCGAGAACTTGCCGCCATCAATGATGTAAGTAAATCATCTATTTTGAGAGTTTTACATAAAGAAAAATACCACCCTTACAGAGTTCAGTTGGTTCAGGAGTTAAATGAAGATGATCCTGATAAAAGGCAGGAATTCTGTGAAATGATGATTGAACAGACAGAACAGACAGATTGAAATGACAGAATGAACGCAGATTTGCAGTTCATAAACAAAAGTTTTGTTCTGATTAAGTGACGTTTCATTTAAACGGAACGGTTAACAAACCAAACTGTAGATATTGGAGCAGAGAAAATCCTCACTGAGTGTGTGAGACTTACACGCAATATCCTAAAATTTAACGATTAGGCTGATATCATTAACAATAAAATTATTAGTCCTTCTTTTTTTGAGGGCGCAGTTGATGATGAGTTTTATCTAGATTTTTTGATTAAGTTTTTAGTGCCTACATTACGAACATTTTTTCCTAATGTTGGACAATCGAATGGCCAGCTAGATCCCCCGATTTGACTCTTCTCGATTACTTCTTATGGTTATTTAAAATCTAAAATATAATTTACTAGACCAATCAGTATTGCTGATTGAAAAATTGGGATAACGGAAGAAATAAACAACATAACTCCTGGAGTCGTACAAAATGTTGTACGAGAATTCCAAAATCGCCTCGGGTATTGTCAAAAAGTAAATAGTGATCATTTTGAACATTTAATTTAATTGTAAAGTACATTGAAAAATACATTCTAAATACTATGTGACATTGTTATCTTCATTTAACCTAAAGTTTTGTGGTAAAGACATTGTCAAAGTTTTACATTTTAAAAATCAATTTTCTAGGTTATTATATCACCAAACTTAAAAAACTTAATATTACTGAACAGAGGACTAAAATCCCTTTCTAACAAGGAGCTACACGACCCCCTTTGCTATTTAAAATTTTCAAGGGGGTGCTTATAATTCAAAGGGGGTGCTGGAGGGGGATATTATTTTCATACTCTAAATTGTCAATTTACAAAGAATACAAAGAATAAAAATCGACCTGTTTCAGGTTTTTTTCACATAGTACTTAATAACGCTAAAAATGAATTTATTCCATACATATGGACCGCATGGTACATTATGATCTTATATTATTTCTCCGTCTTGCAAAAATAAAATTTAAGTAAAGAGAACAAAATGAATTCAATAAATTTCAAAAGACTTACCAACAATTGGAGCATGGTATTTGAATGCCAAGCTATACAACAGCAAATTTGTGGTAGTGGACAATTGCAACATCACCAAATCAAAACCATGATGCTGGTCAAGAATATTTTGCACTGGTCCATATTCCAAGATTTCCGTGGACAAATTATTTCCGAAATTACACATGTATTCCAGTTTATGCAACGTTGAAGGCAAATTGATATATGCATTTGGCCATCCGTACTTTGATAACAAATTATACGTGAAAGAAATGTCTATTTCTGTTAGGTTTGTTAAGTTTGGGTCAACAAGGGAATGAGTAGTGATAACGGTGACATTGTGGCCTCGTAACGACAACTCTTTCCAAAGCGGTTGGAAAACTAATTGGTGACTGTATGAAGGTGTCGGAAATATTCCTAAAATTCTTACACACTGACTAAAATTTAATAAACCTAAGAATATGAGTAACACTAACATAATTTGTTCAAATTAAGTAATAACCGATTACTTAGCTAAAGCACTAATTTTTTATATTAATATTACCAAAAAATACCACACCCGCCAAAAACGAGAGCTTTATTGGTGACTTTGACCTTTTATTTCAATTAATTAAACTCTGTGTATAAGACAGAAATAGCGGTGAGAGAATAACAATTGTACTAGCTGGTACACTAAGAAAACTAATAGGGAAGTCGTTCAAACCAGTAGTAAAATTGTGGTTACACTGAGAACCAAAGTAATTTTATTATTACAACTATAGTGTATTTAAGTAGATATGTTTTCCATAAATTGTATTTTTTCTGTAAAATTTAATATAACCCATACCTACATTATTTATACTTTCGAAAGTTTTATTAACTTTGTCTTATGTGTGTGTGTGTGTGTGTGTGTGTGTGTGTGTGTGTGTGTGTGTGTGTGTGTGTGTGTGTGTGTGTGTGTGTGTGTGTGTTTGATGAGTTGGCTTGGAAACTAGTCCTTTAGCCACAGAATTGTAATATAATATATTAGTTTTTAAATAATGTAACCAACTTAAAATAAAAAGTTACATATTATTTCGTTTACTTCTCTACTATCTAAGGAGAGTAAATGGGTGATATTTATGGGAGTCTGAGTTTTAAGTTCTGATAGTTTTGAATACAGCTGATCTGTTTCATCCCTATGTTTATCGCACTTAAAAAGAATATGGTTGATGACACAATGTGATATATTATTGCATGAGCATACCCCAGAAGGGATAATATTTAACTTAGCCAAGTGAGCTGGGAATGCACCGTGATTAGTTTTCAGTTGTCTAATTGTGGCTGGCAACTTCTTTGGCATTGCATATTTAAAAATATAGGCAATATCTTGTGGTAAGGTAGGGTGTATAGTATAATATTGATTACTTGAGTTTCTTGCTATGTTTTTCCATTTTTCTTGTTGTTGTAGTCCTCCAATGTGAATATGGGAATATAGAGTCCAACATGGGTCGCATCTTTAGCAAGCTGGTCAACCAGTTCATTTCCCTCAATACCAATATGACTTTTAACCCAAATACCTGTAATATCTTTACTATATGTTTTATTTTTAATAGCACAAAGAATATGATGAGTCATATCTGAGTTTAATACTTTAATGACCGATAATAAATCTGACAATATTACTGCTCTATTTAAATTGTGTAAATCTAGCCAATCTAATGCTTTTTCGATTGCTACCGCTTCAGCAGTGTATAGTTCAAAACCATAAAATCTAGTCTTGCACAGTCAACAGAATATTCCAACCCATTTACGAATGAAGAAATATCGCAAGCCCTAAATGAAATGAAAACAGGAAAAGCGCCGGGTTTCGACGCCATTCACGCTGAATTCCTCAAACATAGCGGCAGATTCACTAGGCAATGGCTCGCAGAATTCTTTTCTGACATCCTTCAAACGGGAAACGTCCCCCACCAACTCAAAAATGCAAAAATCGTCGCCATTTTAAAACCAGGGAAAAGTAATAATTCACCGAAAAACTACCGCTCCATCGCACTCTTAAGTATGGTGTACAAATTGTTCGAAAGACTGTTGTATAATAGAATCAGCAAAACCATATTCCAACACTTACCAGTGGAACAGGCAGGATTTCGGCCAAATCGCAGCTGCACAGACCAGGTACTCGCCCTGACCAATTATATGGAATCAAACTTTCAAAAGCAATCAAAAACAACCGCTGCCTTCATCGATCTATCTGCTGCTTATGACACTGTGTGGCGACAAGGAGCAATATATAAATTAATGCGAATAATCCCATGCAGAAAGACCACTGAGGTTATTAACGCCATGCTATCCAACAGATGCTTTAAAGTTATATTGGAAGACAAGACTAGTACCCAAAGAAAACTGAATAATGGACTTCCACAAGAATCCGTGCTGGCTCCCATGCTTTTCAGCCTCTACATAGCAGACATGCCAGAAACCACATCCAAAAAGTATTGACATATTAATTAAAGGTATGCATATATTTTTAAAACTAATTAATGGATATTTGTGGGAAATATACATAACTTTCTTGAACCTTTTAAAGCAGAATATTAAATAGCTGAGAAGATTTATATTTCATGTTAGGATTCGATCAATTAATTTTGTACTCAGTCTGAGGCCTTCTTTAAGTCAATAAATCAAAATTTTTTTTAAGGAAATCTATTTATATATATATATATATATATATATATATATATATATATATATATATACTCCTCTTTGGAGGATAACTTTCGGGAAAGCGTCAAAACAAGGATCAGCTAGAGATGGTATAAGCCAGTTTGGTGTAGAACTTTATTCTATATGTGAAATTTTCGGTGATATGTTGTCACCTTCATCAGCACCTAAATGGAAAACCTATTTTAGTACAAGTGGTGGAAGTTAACATATAAAACCTACATTGAAAATGTTCAGTTGGTCCTAGAGTTGAAGAACACTGTCACAAACATGTTAAAAATATTAAACATGTTTGTGACAGTGTTCTTCAACTCTAGGACCAACTGAACATTTTCAATGTAGGTTTTATATGTTAACTTCCACCACTTGTACTAAAATAGGTTTTCCATTTAGGTGCTGATGAAGGTGACAACATATCACCGAAAATTTCACATATAGAATAAAGTTCTACACCAAACTGGCTTATACCATCTCTAGCTGATCCTTGTTTTGACGCTTTCCCGAAAGTTATCCTCCAAAGAATTGTATTCTTAGCGTCGTTATACAAACTCTATATATATATAATATATATATATATATATATATATATATATATATATATATATATAATTATATATATATATATATATTTATATATATTATTGTGATATTTCAAGTCTTGGTGCGCCAATCAATTAATTAGCTAATTAATTAATTGATTAATTAAAATTATTGATTAATTAAAAAAAAAAAAAAAAAAAAAAAAAAAAAATATCAGTCTTTTGATTATTAATTAAAATTATTGTAATGATATGATTATGACTTTGTCACACGTTTTAATTCTCTTATCTCAGGGTTAAATTCGTGCTTCAATATCTATGCTATTACATGTGAAAAGTAAGGTCCAAAGGATACCGGAATAATAAAAAACATAATGATCTAACATTATATATTGAAATAAAAATAATGAAATAAAATTCACACTCAAATGTTTTCAATAAACAATATCTCATATAATGATTCTCAAAATTTTGTTCTACGTACGTGAACCTTCAAAATTAATGGTACAAACAATATTAGTCGAAAATCCCAAATATTATTCTAAATCTCCTAATCAAAATATTTATATCCTTTCTAAATTAAGTGTAAAAATTGTGTTATCAATAAAAGAAAAACTGCAGAAACAAAACTATCTCTCTCTGATGATGAGTGGTCCAAATCCTTGTTCCTTGTAGACTATATTATCTACTCTCAGCCGCTCCCTACGTAATCAGCAATCTTACAACAAATTATTGCAAGTTTATCGTCCTTAATGATCTCCTTCAAATGCACGAATCGTTCAAATTATGCTAGCTTCTTCTTCTCTCAATAAACTGAATCTCTCGTTGGCCTGAGTGAAAAATGACTCTTGGAATATCTTTTCTTTACGATAAACTGAATCTCTCGTTGGCCTGAACAGTGACTCTTGGAATATAAGTAGAAAAATATGACTTTTACTGGATCAATCTTTTACTGGATCAGCTTCTGTCAAATACACTAACCACACGAAAACTCACAAACTTTCACTGCTACTGCTTGCTACCTTTGGGAAACTACCCGAGAAACAACGGCCGTTCGCCTTGCACCCTTGAAAACCAACTGATTATCATTTCTCTCTCAAAAATCTAGCTAAACTTTCATTCCTACATACCTATCCCACCTTTTTTTAATCTCCGCCAATCAAAGCTCGTCACAATTCTCCCATTTTTTTCATTTCGATAACAAACAAATTTTTACCTATAATTATAAAATTTCCTAAAACTTATTTACAAATAATATTTTTCTACAATTCTTAAAAACTAACAAAAAACCTCTTTCTAATATCTATTCTATTGTCCTTAATCACTGCATTAATGTATTTGGAAAACCCGGTTTAATTGTCTTTGGATTTCACTTAAAATTATGCGGGTCACTCAAGTATATTATAACAAAGAAAATAATTTATGCTTAGCTTACATTTTGTTTAATACAGGTAATCCAAAAATTTAAAGACTTTCCTTCTTCGAAATGTTTGTTGGTTATTATCCTACTTATCTAAATTATTTTAATGTTTTTGAACTTTGAAATATTTTAAAACAAACCGATATTTTTTTGATTTTACATATCATAACAATATATATATATATATATATATATATATATATATATATATATATATATATAGTGAATATAGAATATATATTCATTATATCCTCCCCTTTCATTTGCTATGCCGCATGTTAGGATTCAATCAGTTGTTTATTTTGTACTGAACCTGAGGCCTTCTTTAAGTCAAAAAATCAAAATTTGTCTTTTGGTAAATCTATTTTTATTCATAGTACCCTATCATATCTCGTATGTCGCTATACGTTCATTAATATTGAAAATACTATCCAATGCCGAAATGTGAATTTTTTCTGTCTCAACAGCACTTTTACAGCTTTTACTTAATTATATTTAATTTTGGTAAATGTTGGTAGTTCAGATTTCTTTCCTATGTGGCGTAGTTACCTTACTGAACAAACAGTGTGACTTGTCATCCTAGCCTTTTAGATAAATAGATTCTCTCAATTTTAAATGTACTTGTACGTAAAAATATGAGCTTGACTAACTACGTTATGAACGTAGTGGTCATACAGTGGGATCTTTATGCTATATTTATTTTATATTTTATATTTTTTCAGTTCATTATTTTGTTATTAATAAGTTGGAATTGTGAAAATATATATATTCTATTCTAACTTGTATTCATAGTTCGCTACTTGTGTTTTTTATAATCCTATTTTTATTTTAACTGGTATTGTAAAATTCAAATCCTCAAAATATAATTTATAATTCGATTGTATTATTATTTTTTCATCTATAGAAATTAGTTTCCTCATTAGCTCTTCGTTTTATGAGATTTCTCACCAGTAACAGTGAATACAGCGTGATTTTCTAATGAATACAAAAAATTTAACATTCGATTAATCAAAACTGATGGATTCAACATAAAACATTTTGAAGGGCAAACAGTAATAATTATTTATAAACTATTGATAATTGTCAAAAACGCTAAATTTTCGCTAAGTCACACATTTCCTATTTATTTTAAAGCAAGGTATTAAAAATTATATTCAGCAGTGTATCAAAAACTGGAATTTATCTGCGCGTGGAGCATGTGCGCGTGAAAAAAATGGAACATGAAGAATAAAGGGTTGGCGGTAGAGTGAACCTACTGATTCTTTTTAAGCACTATACTGTGGTACGACTCGGAACATACGAGAGCTTAATTTCCCGACTAGGCACCCCCCACCACCTAAGCTTTTGGGAATGGAACAGTTTGAATTTGACAGTTTGACATTTATGAATTTGTTTGGACTTAACCTAACTTTATTTGATTTCTTATGTTTATATTTGGTGTCTTATTATTATTTTTTTATATAAATGCCTGTAACGTGTAAATATTGTGATAAAATGTTTTCAAGACAATTTACTTTAAATAGACACGTCACACAATTTCATTTTAAACAGATTGAACGCATATTTTATGCTAAAAATGTATGGGGTTTTAAATGTTTGGAACTTGATTGTGATAATTCCTTTCAGCAAGGAAAATTTTTAATTAATGATTTGGAAAATGTTCATAATTTAAAGTTTGAAAGTCAAACAATTAATTTTACAAATATGGATGGTCAGTTTTATTTTAATATTTAATTTAGTAGGATATATTTTGTTAAAATATTGTAGAATATTTCTATGTACTTAATAAAATATCATTAAAAATATATAGTAATGGACATTTCCTAATTTAATTTTTTTTTGTTTAAGAATTTATTATTTTGAAACAATCAATGGAAGAAACATCCTGCAGTTTCTATGTTGTGTCTAAATACAAGCAAGATAAAAATATTACGTACTTTAATTGCAATCGGAGCAAAACATGTAAGTAAGACACTTAACCTATGATAACTTCATATTAGATGGATACTATATAATTATTTATAATTTAATTTTTTTTCTTTGTAGCTCGTGATGGAAAGCAAGTATTAAATAAGCAATACAAGCATAAAAATCATGATTATTTCTGTACCGAACAACAATTATCTTTACCCTCACTCAAGAACCGTCGTGACATGTCAGGAGCTATATTTATATAATATAAGATCATACATGGATTTATTGATTGTCCAAACCTGTTAAGCCAGATTAACTTTAATGTTCCCCATCAAGCTCTACGAGCTCAAAATGTGTTCAATATTACTTTCCACAGAACAAACTATGGTATTCACAACCCGTGGAATAGATACAAGGGGCTATTAAATGATCGCGATTTTGATATTTTCAATATAACTTTAACTCGTTAAATTTTGTTCTTGTTATACTTTGTTTGTTTTTTAGTATGTAAGATTTTTAGTCTCATTTTTTTAAACTTTTTAATATTGATTTTATATAGCAATTTTAAGTTTTGAATCCTAACTGTGATATTGTATATTGTAATTTAAACTGTTAATGGGGTTATCTCGTGTATTAAATAAATAAATAGTACACTGACTGTACTATTTAAATAAAAATTAAAATACTTAATCGTTATATACATGCATCTTGTATTTATTTCACCTTTCCCTAAATTGGAAACAACTGTAAAATGTTGTGGTACATATACATTGTATACCCTGTATATTATACAGGGTGTTTGCAGTCTTGTGATTTTTTTTATAGGTAATAGTTCATAAAAAAATAATGGTATGTCATCTAATAACACAAGAATATTCTTATGAAATTTGGTAAGCATTATTTATGGATTGATTGTACAGCTACTATAAGTTTTGTTATAAGAGATATAAAGAAAATTCGAAAGGTTGTTTTAAATAGAATTTACTTACAAAAAATGGTTTTGGAAATTGCATATTACAGAGGCGTACTGAAATTTTTCTTTAAATTATAAACGACATATCCCGAATCTATGTAACTTCTTTAGATTATTACACGGTTCTTATACATGTAGTGGCCATTCAATCTATACGTCATGTACAGCAAATTTCAGTTGAATATTCTAATGCGCTAAAGAGATATTACAAAAAAATCTAAATTTTTGGAAACTTCAATGGCCTGTATTTGGGAAAGGAACCAAATTCGATCATCCACTATTCTACAAATACCGTTATTGCTGACAACACCACTTAAAAATAAAATCGCAAGACTGTAAACACAGTCTATACATTGTAATATTTTCTTCTAAAAAATATGACTATTTACCTCATATCTGTTCTGTACAAGCGTAAACGAAGTATATTATACCAATCATTATTATATTGGAAATTTTTTTTAAAGTTTTTTACAAACTAAAATAATAATGAAATGATTAAATGTAGCAGGTGTTATTATTTACAGTTTTCTAAATAAAAATTATTATTAAAAAATTAAATTAGTATTTATAATTAATTCTGTAAAAAATATAGATATAGATTGTGTTACCAAAGTATGTATAGGAATAAAAAAAAACAAAAGTTTAATACGATAAGGACCGATTGTTTGAACGCTAATTAAAACTCAAATATTTAATTAAAATCAAATAGGAAACATTTTGAGGTTATGTTGACTGATTTATTCAATTGTATGATTTTGCTTTTTAATTTAAAATAAACCATAATTAAACTCTTTCTGATATTAATTTCATGTTTTTATTTACAAATCAGTAATAATAATAAGCAATTTTGACAACAGCTTTGATATATTTGCAAATTCAAGTTTTGATTAGCGTTCGAACTACCGGTCCTAATTGATACCATATATTTCAAACTTCCCGCCATTCGTTAAATCCGTGCACATATAAACAGTAGTGGGGGTGCTGAGTCGGGAAATTAAGCTCTCGTATGGTGGAACATCTAGTGAGACGACTTAAAGGTCCGACTTCCGACTGGCGACGAAGTCGGAGCGTGTGGCGTGAATGGTGAAGTTGGAAGTCGGATCACAGGTCGGATCGAGAATTTCCTCAGTCAGTTGACCTTGGGCACCTGTTACGTATGAGATTTCTATGAAATACTTTACGCAAAGATCTCTAGTTCGCAAATATTTAATAGAAAATAAACTTTCAATTGCACGAAAATTACCTTTTTGTTAGGGCCACTCATTTTCCTTTCTGAAGATCTATTTCGGACATTCCCATACAATTACAATTTACAACACTCTGGACTGGCTACGGAAGAATTATCAACAAACAACGAAAATTAAATCATAGTTATACTGAAATTAGACGTAACTGTTTCCTTATAATTTTTCTGAAATTATTTTCTTGTGGCATCTTATGCAAATTTATTATTTTAATTTGAAATAAGCCTGAATATTAGTTACAAATTAAATTCATTTGACGTTGTATTGAAGTTGGACTGCTAGTTGGATAGCAAGTCGGAGCGTGAGTGGAGACGAATATCCAACTAATAAGTGGGACCGCAAGTTGGAACGTGAATGGCCTGCATTAAGTGTCTTACAAGATAGAGTAACTGCTGCAATACATTCGCGTTCGTGTGTTATTAGGTTGGGACGTAAGTACTGCAAAGAACGCAGACCACAGAATGCCTGACCGCTGTCTGTATGCGCGCAGGCGGCCTAAAAGTTTGGTAAGTTTTCTTTTCTTTTCATTTTAATTTGAATCTCTTTTCTCAAACTCAAATTACACACCACTGAGATTTTATAAATAAAACAAATCAATTATTTGTTATAATTTCACAATTCAAGTAATGCAATATATACAGACAAATTATAATTTCTAAATACTTTCTTGATGGATTATATGTATAATACTATTTGAGTTTGACGTTTAATTCGATTTGGACTTTTTCCACAATACTTCCGCTATGAACACCAACAACGCCAAACAGTTTCCCACCATATACAAGCCTATTAAACTCAGCAGATGTTTGATATTTAATATCTCAGGTTCATTTGGTGTTGCTTGATATTTAGAGCTCCTTTGAAAATTTATTAATCCATGCTGTTTGATCAGTAGTAAACATTTGTTGAACTGACTTATCAGTGGTGAATTCTTCTGCAGGGTGTAACCATCTATTCCGGGTATCAATGATTCCTTCAATATGGCAAACTGAGATTGCCCATCTTTGTTCTTATGAAAATTGATGTAGAACTTGGCTGCATCAATACGAACCACAAAGGCACAGTTGTTTTGAAACTTAGAGTACAACATATTTTCTGGTTGATCATCCATTCTTATAAATTTATCATTCAGTCCAAGTGAACTTGGTATGTACCCACGGCGAATGAAGTACTCATGAATATAAATACTAAAATTACTTTTACTAAGTTCTTCGATAGTTTTTATTGGCTCCTGAGCTCGGCTACTGACCAACATACTAGTTAGTAAACAATTAAATTGCGTGTTATTCACAGACATACAAAACACCCAAAGCATTAAAAGATATTTCACATATCCCGTTATTTTGCGCAAATTGGGCATCGACGAATTAAACAAAATCTGAAGCATATTGAAGAAATAGTCCGTGACGCCCATGTGGCTAGTGCGATTTCCTATATATAAAACATAACAGATTCCAAGAGTCGCTAAAAGGTTTAGAAGGATTACATCGACATCAAAAACTTTTAAAAAATGTTCGTATTGTGGTACTTTTTCTGGCCTGGGTACTAATACCACTTTATGATCGATTCCATAAGGATACGATGATGTGACGTTGTTCCAAAATTTACTCTGCAAAAAAAAATTATATAATTATCATTTTGCTGTCGTCACTTGAATACTTTATGTTAATTTATTAAGTAAGTAAACCATTTTACAATCGATTAAAACGTTAACAACCCATTTTAATAATTTCTTTTTAATGTCTTCGTTATATACACAGCTTCAGTACCGTAAAATGAGGTGGAATTGATCCAAAGGGACAAAATTGATAACTACGAATAATTCTGAATATCTACGAAGCTTAACAAACCGTTGACAACATCACATTAGTTTGTAAATACTAGCTTGAAACCTGTGATAGTTGAAATAAGTATATATTTTTATGGAAAAAAGCTTCTTTTCATTAGGGTTATATTTTGATAAATCCGCCTGGATTGATATAGGGTGAATTGAGTAGTTCTATAACCGATACAGCCGGTCCCAAGCCTGGATACAAAAGGAGGGATAGAGGAGTAACACCTCTAAAAAAAACAGGGTTCTGCCGACCCGGCTGATAGCACCCTGTAAGGGTCACTGCCTGGGGTACAGGTGAAAATCGGTCAACGGTCTCGAGAGCAGAGGATGACTGGAAAAGTCACAATGGTCGAGAGGGCGGAAGAACCAAGGGTGTCTGATCCAGAATGGGCGGCTGAAGAAAAGGTCCGCCACACGGGGGTTGTGGATTTAGGAATTAGCAACCTAACACACAGAAAAACGTAAGGGTAAGAAGAACGAAAATCGCAAGATGAAAAAGTTAAATATGGAAACACATCCCCAGGTGGAAATTCATACCTCTGACAGTGGGAGCCCCATTGGATACGAGGGGGGGGACAATGTTATCAACTTATCAAGGTTCAACCAAAAATCAAAACAAAGAAAAGATAGAACATTCATATGTGCAAAGTGGAATATACAAGGATGGAACAAAAAGGCGACGAGAGTGATCAAGGAGTTTAGAGAAAGCAGCATCGACATGCAATAGAAACCAAAAACAAGGAAAATGGAACGGAAACAAATAAAAGACCATATTCACTGCTGGAGCGGAGTTAATAAAGAATGTATAGCAGAGGCGCCTGTGGTGACTCCGCCTGTGGTGACTAATGGGTGGATTGAATAGCTCAGGAGTCACCATTGCCGGTCCTAAGCCCGGGTAAAGGAGGAAGGTTGGGCAGTGGGCTAACAACCCACTCCCGGAAAAACACACTGTTATGAAACCTAAACATTTGCCTCGGAACAAGGGAAACTTTCGGAAACGACTAAAGCTACGAAACATGGACTATGCATTTGGAAGTTGGAATGTGAGGACGCTAAATAGACCAGGAGCTCAAACTGCACTTCTACAACAACTAAAAAGATATAATCTTATGATCACTGCTCTTCAGGAGACAAGATGGCTGGGGAAAGGTGTCAGGGACACCAAAACGCACACAATTCTATATAGTGGCAAAGAACAAGGAATCAAAGAATGTGGAGTTGCATTTGTGGTAGATAATGATTTTAAGTCAAAAATCATAGACTTCCAGGCAGTGAATGAAAGGATATGCAAACTAAGAATTCGCACCCACTTCTTCAAACTTACTATGATAAACATCTACTGCCCAACAGATGAACAAGAGCAACATATAAAGGAAAGCTTCTACCAACAGCTGGAGATAGTATATGACAACGCGCCAAAAAATGACATTAAGGTTATAATGGGTGATATGAATGCCAAAATAGGCAAGGAACCGCAGTTCTATGGCACAACAGGGAAACACTCACTGCACAATGAAACAAGCGAGAATGGGGAATTTTTGATAAATTTTGCCACCAGTAAAAACATGGTTATAAGCTCCACATGCTTCCCACATAAAGACATACACAAAATGACGTGGATCTCACCAGATGGAACCACAACCAATCAAATTGACCATGTGATGATAGACAAAAGGGCAGCCAGTAGTATCTCTGATGTGAGAACACGACGAGGAGCATGCTGTGGATCAGACCATATTTTACTGCAAACCAAATTTAGGTGCAGAGTTAACAGAGAAAGAAACGAAAGACAACAAAGAACAAACAAACTAGACCTGGAAAAACTAAAGACTCAGGAATGTAGAGAGAAGTTCGAGCAAGAAGTCACAAATGAGCTAAGGACACAAGAACTGCACTCCATAGAGAGCAAATGGAATAATATCAAAACAGCAGTGCTGACAGCAGCAGCGTCCACCGTGGGAAACAAGAAAAAGAAGAGAAGAGGAACATGGTTTGATGACGAGTGCAGGCAAGCGATAGAAGAAAGAAACGAAGCGCACAAAATGTACATAACAAGAAGAACACGGGAAAGACGAACATCATTTGAAGTCGCAAGACGGAAAGCAGACAAGATATGCAGAAACAAAAAGAGAGCTTATGAAAATGGACAAATAGAAGAAATGGAACAAAATTTAAAAAAAAATGAAATTAGAGGAGCTTACGAATACCTAAAAAAGATAAAAAGTGGATATAAACCTCAAACAAGCCTATGCAAAGATGAAAGTGGGCAAATAATCAGTGACCAACAGAAAGTCACAGAAACCTGGAAGCATTATTTTCAGACCCTACTTGGAACACAAGTAGGTATGGAAGATGAAATGGGTACGAACCATGTAGAAGAGAACGAAGTTGAAGTAGAAGCTCCAACCATAGAGGAAGTTCTCGAAGCTATTAAGGCCCAGAAAAACAATAAAGCCCCGGGAGTTGACGAGATTCCAGCAGAACTGTATAAGGTAGGTGGCAACCACCTATCAAGTCATATCCACGCGCTTATCAAAGAAATATGGCAAGAAGAGAAAATACCCGACGAATGGAAGAAAAGTATAGTATGCCCAATCTATAAAAAAGGAGACAAACTCCAATGCAAAAACTACCGTGGAATTTCTCTACTATGTACATCGTATAAAGTCCTCACGTATATTATAAACCAGCGACTCCAACCACTAGCAGAAAATATTATTGGAGAATATCAGACGGGCTTCAGACGGGGAAGATCGACAATGGATCAAATATTTACAGTCAAGCAGGTCTTGAGCAAATCGTGGGAACACGACATTGATGTTCACAACGTGTTTGTAGACTTCAAACAGGCATACGATTCAGTCAAAAGGGACAGACTATACTATATATTGGCAGAATTAGCAATACCATATAAGCTAATTAGACTCATTAAAGCCACAATGGATGAAACTCAGGCATGTGTACGAATACAAAACAACCGGACAGACTTTTTCAAAATCTCGCAGGGACTAAAGCAGGGAGATGGGCTGGCACCAACATTGTTTAACCTGGCACTGGAGTATGCGGTCAGGCAAATGCAAACTGGACGAGAAAACCTACTGACCAATAAAACGGTTCAACTGGCTGCCTACGCCGATGATATTAATATTATGAGTAGAACAGGAGCACAGGAAGCATACGCAGAGTTAAAAACACAAACGAAAAGGCTAGGTCTGGAAATTAACACAGAAAAAACAAAAATAATGGTACAGACGAGAAGAAATATAATCCCACAAAACATTATACATGAAGATGACATTGAAACGGTTGGAAAGTTTACATACCTGGGAGTAGAAATATATGCCGATGGAGCAGAGGATGGAGAAATACGAAAAAGGATAACGCAGGCAAACAAAGCTTATTTTGCCCTCTCCCATATATTTCGGTCTAAAAGTGTCCACCGAAATACAAAGATGAGAATATATAAAACTTTAATTCGGCCAATAGCATGTTATGGCAGCGAAGCATGGGTCCTGAAAGAAACATCCAAAAACAAACTCGACACATTCGAAAGAAAAGTACTGAGGAGAATACTAGGACCTGTGAGGGAAAACGGAATCTTCAGAATTCGATATAACAACGAGCTCTATCAACTGTATAAGGAAACACCCCTGTCAAACTTCATTAGAATCCAAAGATTGCAATGGGCCGGACATGTGATACGAATGGGAGAGGATAGGCTACCAAAACGAGCACTGAACGCCAGAATGCAGGGAAAGAGACCAGTTGGAAAGCCAAGAAAGCGCTGGGAAGACACAGTAAGCAGCGACGCACAAGCACTTTTAGGAGTCCGTGTATGGAGAAGAGCAGCCACAGACAGACAAGGGTGGAGGCAAAAAATAAAGGAGGCCAAGGCTCATTTTGGGCTGTAGTGCCGTAGAAGAAGAAGAAGAGCAGAGGCAGGAGTGGGAATACTAATCAAAAATAAGTGGAAGAACAGGGTTAGAACATGGGAGCCAATCAACAAGAGAATAATTAAAATGCATATAAACATATACGGTAAAGAGACAGTGACACTCGGAGTATATGCACTAACAGACTATTGTGCTATAGAGCTAATTAAGAAGAACGTGAAGATAATAATAACAGGAGAACTTAACGGCAGAACCGGAAGGAAAGAAAACGATAAAGTAGTGGGGAAATTTGGAGAGGATGAACAAAACGATAACGGAGAACGTCTGATTGAATTATGCGAACTACATAACCTAAAAATTACCAACGGATTCTTCAGAAATAAAAATATTCATAAATATACATGGACACAAGAAACATGAAAGCTGAAATCGATAATAGTGGAGCTGAAATCAAAGAGGAGCAAAATGTGGAACGGACCATAAACTACTAACAGCAAAAATGGGCATTAATTGTAAACATAACAAGACCCCCACTACAGAAGCGCCGTTAAACACTATAAGTGAAAAACAATACAATATAGAACTACTCCAATAACAATCAATAAGAGTCCAACAACATCTAGACCAAAAATTAATAGAATTTAGATACGGCATCAAAGAAATATACGAGCATATAAAGGCGAGTATAAAACAAGCAGCATTAGAAGCCCTTGGAGAAAACAAACATATAAAAAATAAACAGCACTATTATGAACTAAATGAACCAACAAAAAGAATAATTAAAGAAAAAAAGCAACTATACAGAAAATGGCTGACTTCAAACAACGATGAAGTTTATAAGGAATGTAGAGGAAAAGATAGAGAAGTGAAAAAACAACTAAC